ACTGAATGACATATTCAATTCTAGTGTTTATTGTTTCACATGTAAGACAAACAAATCTGTGGTATGCGAATTCCTACCCTCTGTTTATTCGGTGATATAGCCCTATTTGCTGGTATTCTCTTACGAATGATTACAAATACAACTAGTAAATAGCTGTACGCCATTCAGAACTATCCACAATGTGATTTGGACTCTTTACAAGTATTTCATTCATTCAAGACTAAGATTCTCAGCTATAGAATCAGATTCACATCACACTAGTTAATTGACTAGTGTCCAGTCAAAAATATCTAATACAGTCCTACAGGAAGTCAATCGCTAGCCTGAATAGCTCAGTGGTAACGTCTCTAACTGCAGCACTGGGTGACGCGGGTTCGAATCTCAGAAGGGACATGAGTTCCTTCAAGGTTGCAGATACGCCTTGCTGACTGGTGAGTGCCAACTAGCACGAAACCTAGGTGGTAGGCTACCTGCTTATTGCCTCCAGCCATGGAATACCAACAGTTCACAGTCCACCGTGGTGGCGAATCACCTAGTATGGTGGCCACATTGTGAACGTGACTGATAGAATTCAGTCTGCACCAAAGATAGGACTAGACGCATCACACTAGGTGTTGACTAGTGTCTAGTCAAAAAGAATCAGATTCCTTTATCTTAAAAAATATAAAATTATTTAGATTATTGATAATTGCTCAAGCAAACAGTCTTGTTTAGATCGCTCCCACTCAGTAGCTATATAACGAAGAGCACTTCATAACCTGAATCTGAAAAGAAGATGTAGATGTCATATATATTCCACATATAATTGACTACCTCATTTATGTTTCCTACTACCTAGACGACTGACTAGTTAGAAAAGGTGTTGAACCCTGAAAATGTTGTATTGAGTGAGGATTTTTTCATAAGTTAGGGAGATTAATATAGCCCAATTTTCAGAAGTCTAGTAAGATACTTTTATAAAATAAAGCAGTGCTTATTAGTATGTTTTATTTATTCACTACTAAATCCTAAAATCATTGATGTACTATTACATAGAAACCATTTTCACTGCGTGTGATATTTTTCCTCTACATGTAACAATGAAAGTGTGATTTAATTCAGCTATTAGTCTTTCAAAAAAATAGCTTCACGTAATGCACTCAGAATTAACTTCTGTTTTTGGTATACAGTTAGAACTTATCTGAATTTAATGGGCAGAAAGTCCTGAACCAAAGCTTCTTCCGTACTCATAGACATCTAGAGATAACCTGGGAGAACCTAGTCCTATTCAGGTTACCTGGGGTTCTAGAGAGAAGTGGTGACCAGTAAGGTACAGTAGGTCGGGCATGAGCACAAATACTCGCCAGTAACATTGGCTGGTGGTCATGCTATTTTGTCAGTTCGCAGAAGTTGGAATTCATGGGCCGTTGGATCGGGGCCCAGTGGCTTAATGGTCTACGAGCTCGCTAGCCTTGTAACCAGAAGGTCCTGGGTTCGAACCCAGTTGGGTTGGGTGCTTACTGCGGAAGAATCCCAAACCAGGACGAAGTAGTTGTCTACTACTCTCATATTTTCCAATGGTTATCTAACTGATGTCAGCTCATGATGAAATCCTGTGACCAATCAATCAAATCCTCACATACCAATATTTGAATATCTAGAGATAAATTCCATTTAGATTATTACAGACTATCTTCAGAAGTAATGACCAACCAATGATAAAATCACCGTCTTTTGAATTGCAAGATAAGTTCAAGCTTCAAAGTATACTGCAGATTTGTCCAGCTGACCACTAATAACAAACTCTTAAATTAGATCAGGTACAGCTTCCCATTGCTTGGCTGACTTCTTCCATTAGTAGTTCACAGTACACTGTAGAGTGACACCGTATCATATCACTTAACATCTTCCATACACGTTCAGAAGATTTTAATCGGGGTTTGTAGTTAAATAATGAAATCAGTTCCCAGAAGTCACTAGTTCGAAATAATTTCATAAAACGGATTCCAAAACTGTCAACCAAATAGAATTCATACTGTGCATGCATAGATAAGACATTGAGACACGATAGTGACAGACAATTAGAGAATAATCGTAGTCACGTTGTCTAATTGTAAGTGCTGGCTGAAGTCAATGAACCATGATGAGAGATCCACTGTAACTGTGCCCTTTGTTCGAAGATAGGTAGGTCAAGCCAATCAACAGTAAATCCTGAATGTGTACGTGTACTTCGATCAATTGAACTTGTATGCCAGCTCAAGATAATATAGCTTCAGAGTTGAATATTACACGCATAATAGTGTAGTGTGGCGAATTATTCCGAAATAGGATAAATAATCTCAAAGCACTTGAGTGTATTGTTCAGTAGTATGAGATATTACGTCTTGACAACTTGTGTTCTTTGAAGTTTACATGAATGTTTATATCAGATTACAAATTCAGTGATGATCGTTTTACACTGAATGGAGAGAATCAGGTTAATCTGATAGTGAATGTAAAGTGAGTAGTTGATTAGATTAGCTAGGGTGTTAATTGGATTATAATCACCGAGTACATCATCAGTGTCATAGGGGGAATTTGTATTTATCATGTAATATGATAATAAATTAGTACTTTTTCAATTTGGTTATGCACTGTATGGATAGTATATCAATAGAAGTGCAGTAATGTCTTATAATTGGACGTTAACCAAAGAATATGTAAAGTAGTGAGGTAAGCTAGTGAATAGTGAAGCTCACTATTGTTTAACTTTTGAAATTTAAACAATGAAAACTACTCAAATAACTTGTGGGACGATAAGATTAAACTTATAACTAATGCTGCAAAATTACTTCATGTAACTAATCGCAAAGACAGCAATCGTAACCAATAATATGATTTCTGGAAGTCAATGAATGAGAGTTCTTTCGAAGTTCTGCCCTATATGATGCCATTTATAAAATTATCCGTCTTAGAATATCTGCGATTTCTCTCTACTTATGAAAAAAATCAGTGTAAGTCAATATGGGTAATTATCTAACTTCCAGTCACTTCAGTCCGAGATCGCAGTTAAAAAGGGGTTATACAGGACTAGAATAATGCTACCTTGAACAAATATAGCATAGGAGAATAAACAACTGAAGGTTATTCAAATTCATGACAGTTACGGAGACGACGGGGGAAATTCATTGGCTTACTACGAACCACTCAAAATAATTTTAACAAGCGTTCTCGCCGAAAGATCCACAGCTTCCTATATGTTTCAGGCCAAAGGTCAGAGAATTCATGGATTAATGCAAGGTTTCTAGTAGATTCATACTTTATTTTTGTGAACCTTCTCTTGCGTCAAGTAGCATCGCTCATTTTTGAAGGTATCAGCGGTGCATAGACAATAAGTGTTTAGACCAACTCTAAGAATGAGAATGTATGACTCATTTGTCCTCCATTTTTAAGACTCTTTGCCTAGATTTAGCATTTCTGAATTTCGGCAAAATTTCATATGTATACTCTTTTTATCATATTGTCTCATGACATCTCTAAAAGTGGATTTTATGGACTACTGTGCAGTATGTTTGTACTTTGATGAGAAGACTGATGTGAGTTGGTGAATACTAAACACATACTTGTATCTCTACCGAGAATTTATCTCTGCAATTTACAAGCAGATGGAGTAGTCATAACGTCCACTCAATTCACTTTCTGACCTAAAGATTAGAATTGGTGTTGCCTGTAATCACAAAAAGTGGTCCAACAAATCTAAAATTGCATTTTATAAAGTTAGAGAACTTCATTTCTACAAAATACTATCAACGGAGTCAAGTAGTTGAAAATCATTAAAATCAACCATTAATCCTGACCAGTCAGACTGAAGTACTATTAATCCATAACTATCATTTTGGGGATTTTAAGGCTCATAGACCACATTTTATGTTAGAGTGATTAACTCAACCAAGAAGTTTGCACAGGAGTGAATCATTTCAGGTCACCACACTTCCGGAAAACACAAACAAAAGGACGAAACCGAAAGTTAGCGTTACTACAATCGATTAATACAGGTGAGAAGGATAAAATATTTGTGATCTAGAGAATTTAAAGGGTGACAAAGAGTAAATAAATCTGCGCTGCTGTAAGCCATTCTATGAAATGTCATCGAATTTCTTCAATTGCTGATTCCTAACATATCGAAGACTTTACTAGGCAGCCTACATCTACATATTTTGTTCTGAGAAATAATTAATGTCTCCAACAATTAATGTTCTTAACACTTTAAGTCTTATGGAAAAGATCGGGATAAAGTTTTATAGACGAGTCTTGCTTTATTGTATTACTCGCAGCTTTGACCGCTTAACTTTTGTTGTAGCATCATATACTACTCTGTTTAAATTGTTCACTGTTATGGACTAATCGTACTGAACAGTAATGTCCTAAGTGACCATAGTATAATCGTACTTTACCTGCTTAACTCATGTGAAAATAAAAGAGTAATTAATTCTATAACAGAATGATTTTTAATTGGTGGATGGTGACTAGCAGTGGAATCCAGGATGTGCATTTCGTCTCGAGCCTCGGTGGTAACATCATCACTCACTGAGAAATGCGGGTACATCCAGCATGACGAGCTGCTAGTCACCATCCACCAATTAAATACTAATTAAATGCCCAGACATCGTCGAAGCATCTGCAGAAGAAGCCGACATGTCAACATGAGACCGAGTACTTCGGTCCAATCAATCGATGGGAAAATCAAAAATTCAATGAAAGAATTATTTTATTTGCTAAAAGACTGATAGAGTATTATTTATTCACTGATGATATTATGAGCACGAATTAATGCTCAAGATGATATCAGCGTGCTCAAATAATTTACAGATTTTGATTATGTGGTCACACACTCTTTCATATCCTTTAATTTTATTAATAAGAATATTTTCCATATCTCTGGCATCTAATTCACACTTAATAAGTCGCCATTTTCTTATAAAAATCAATAAAATTTAATATAAAAATAACTAGCCATTAAAAGACTAGTATTAATAACTTACATTCTGACTTGTACTACTCAGCACTGAACGTTGTATGCATGACTTTTTGACAGTTAAATCTGAGTCTTCCTCATTTGAAAATTGTGAAAAATTATCCTTTGGTTTATTTTCTTTTTGTAATAAGTGGATAAAATTTTCAGGTCTAGTTAAATTCAATCTGTTGTTACATTTGTTGTTAACTCCATTGAATTGATTTATTTTAAGGTCATCTTTCCTTGACTGGTGAGAGTTTAGAAATCTAATTTGTTTTTGATGATAATTATGTTTATTGTTTCTTGATTTTTGTCTTAATAACGCATAATGTGCTATTTTATCATATTTTGCTTTATTTTCAGCCTCTTTTATTGCTTTAATAAGTAGAGCTTCTTTCATTGCTTGCTGATCACATAAATAATGATAGTGTCGAATCACTTCTGGATTCGGTTCAGGCAGGTAGAATTTATCCTTGTACTGTGGTGATTCTGCTATTGTTGTCATCTTTGTTCGTATACAATTTACATCAGTACAATTCAATGGTTCCCACCAACATAATGATGAACTTGTAGACTTAGCAATCTGTGGAATAGGCGTTTTATTATTTCCAGTGTTATTTAACCTTAATGATGGATCTCGTTTCCTTATTCGGTCATGTGTAGATGAGGATTTCAACTTGGGGCTTAGTGGCAAATGTAAACGTGGTATATTCGGTTTGATTTTTTGTTTTGAGTAAGTTATGTAGTTTTCATTATTAGAGCTAGTGCTGGATGTTTCCAAAGAATTTTTGTCATGATGAGATAAATCTATAGACATGTTATCCGTATCTCTGATTCTATTCAGTAATGGGTTGTAATTATTTGTAAGAGTTTTAATATCAGAAGATTTCAGTATACGCGTACATGCTGTAGAAGGTACATATATTGGTAATGGTGAACTAAATGGTTTCAGCTTTTCTTCTATATCAATTGTGTTTATAATTGTTGGCGAATCTTGTCTGTATGTCAACATTCTACAAGTTGCTGGACACTCATTGACGGGATTCAAAATAGTTTCTTTGGATAAATCATTTGAGTTATATTCTATCATAGTGGATGAAACAGTTGGTGGTGACGGAGATACTTCTCTTAAATAAATCGGTTTATTTGTATTTGTATGGCAATATAATGGGGTGCAGATACTACTTTTCGTTGCCGCTGCCTCTGTACTTGACTTCCATTGACAATCTGTTTGACGTGGAGTATCCGGTGTAGCTGAACCGACTCCAATACCTCTAAAATCATTCAAAACATTGGAACGAAAATCAAATTCTATTGAGTATTGTTCAGTTAGTTTTCTCTCAGATGATGTCAGTTCATTATTTAAATCTTCAGTTGGAGTTATTTTATAGTCTTCCTTAGTAGTATTTGGAGTTTGTATATCCTCATTTGTAACAGATGTTTGATTTGTTGGAGAAATAAGGCATGAGTCAGCACACTCGTCTAAATCATTATCTTTCTTGGGACAAGATGATTCAATAGGCGATAACAATTGTGGTGTTGGTAATGTTAAAGATTGTGGTGCCAGTTCATACTTATTCCGTTCGACTACAGGTGATTCATATGCAATCATACATCTAGCACGTGTTAAAATGTCTGTGACTAAATCACGAGAAATTCTTTCAAGATTATTTTCAAATTCTAATACATCTTGATTATTTCCGTCTTCATGCATTGAAAAACTTGTCATTTTCATTCTTTCTACAGTATATAGTGTAGAATAGAGAGACCACAAAACTGAGTGGATCATAGTAATTAACAGACTTTTATAGATTTCATAATAAAACAAAAAATTTAAACATTGTACGGCAAATGCCATCAAAAAAAAAAAATTATAACTTTCAGTCAGTTGTCATGACGATATTTAACTGATTTTAACTTCGTTTACATTACCAACTGATATTAGCTGGAAAATCACTTAAAGTCATCGAATATGTTGCTTTAGTTTTAATCACCTAAAAAGTTCAAAATAATTTTGAGAAAAAACTCTAACTTATGTATTTTAAATAGTCTGAAATTCTACAAATATGACTACTACACACATTATGCTATAGTACAGTAAGCAAACGAGATGAAAAGATACGGAATTCAAGTACTGGGAATATGTGAAAACAGATGGAACGGGAATGGACTCACCAAATTGTCAACGGGTGAGTCAGTGATCTACTCCGGCCACCCAGAAGATAACTACACACACACACACCGAGGGCGTGGCTATCATGATGTCACCAACGGCAACGAAAGCCCTGGTGCAATGGGAGGCAATTTCGTCCAGGATAATGACTGCCAGATTCAACTCCAAAGAAAGGAAAGTGTCAATTATACAATGCTATGCACCCACAAACAACGCAGACCTCGAAAAGAAAGAAGAAATCTACAGACAACTACAGGCAACAATGAACAATACTCCAGCTGGCGACATTAAAATACCAATGGGAGACATGAACGCCAAACTGGGACCAGACAACACTGGAAGAGAACTCATTATGGGTAGAGAAGCTCTCGGAGACATGAATGAAAATGTAGAACTCTTCCTCGAAATCTGCGCCTTCAATGAACTAGTGATTGGTGGCAGCGTATATAAACACAAAGATATCCACAAAGCTACATGGGTGTCACCTGACGGGCAAACCAAATTGACTTCATCTTATTGCTGTTCAAGGAAGTGGAGGCGCAGCCTACTCGAAACAAAAGTAAGAAGAGGAGCAGACGTTGGCTCAGACCACTATCTCGTACAAGGGACAATCCAAATCAAATTAAAAGCTTTCAGGGAAACAGGAGCTGCGAATAGACCACAAGCCAAGTTCAACACTCAAAAACTGAAGGACCAAGATGCAAAGGACATCTTCATTGCAAGCATAAAGGACAAGGCCGAGATACAAATCAATACCAGTGAAAAGGTCAGCGTCAAAAAGCACTGGAACAACATGAAAACGGTGTGGAGTCAAACCTGCATGGAAGTTCTGGGCAGAAAGAAGAGACAGGACAAACAGTGGCTCACTACGGACACTTGGAAACTAATAGAAGAGAGAAGGATAGTGAAACAAAAATTATCCAGTGCACTGAAGAGCAACAAAAACAGAAGCTGAATGCAAGCTACAACACGCTGAAAAAAAGAGTGAAGAAGAGTGCCAGGGAAGACAAAAGAAAATATTATGAAGCCATGTCAACTCAAGCAGAACAAGCTGCAGGCAAAGGAGACCTCGCCACACTCTACCAAACAACTAGGCACCTATCGGGAAAAAGTTCGACACAGACTAAGCCAGTAAAGGATGACAATGGAAAGTCAATCACCAAAGAGGTGGAACAAAGAAAACACTGAACTGAACACTTCAAGAGACTTCTAAATCGACCGCCACCTACAACGCGCCCAACAATACCAACAACGGAATCAGAACTACCAGTGAACATCGAAACCCCCAACGAAATCAGAAGTTCTGAATGCAATCAAGATGCTGAAACCTGAGAAAGCAGCAGGACCAGATGGAATCCCAGCAGAAGCTTTGAAAATAGACCCAGAGACAACAGCGGAGTTGATGACGCCATCACTGGAGAAGGTGTGGAAAGAGGGCAAAGTACCCGAGGATTGGAAGAAAGGACACTTATTCAAACTACCAAAGAAAGGAGACTTAAGTCAATGCAAAAGCTGGCGCGGAATTATGCTCCTGTCCATTCCAAGCAAAATACTAAGCCGCATCATCCTGGAGAGAATCAAACAAGCCAACCTGGATGAAAAACTTCGACCGGAACAAGCTGCATTCAGGATAAACAAGTCATGTATTGATGAAATCGCCACTCTACGGATCATCATTGAACAAAGCTTAGAACGGCAGTCACCTCTCTATCTCAACTTCAGCGACTTTGAAAAGGCCTTCGAAAGCGTCAATCGAGAGGTCATTTGGCAACTACTTCGCTACTAGGGAGTCCCATCGACAATTATACATCTCATCCAACAGTTATACGACAATGCTGCATGCCAAGTAATCCACAACGGGAAACTTACGGAATCCTTCGAAGTGAGGACGGGAGTGATGCAAGGCTGTCTACTATCGCCAATAATCTTCCTGATTGCAGTAGATTGGATAATGCGACAGACAACGAGCAATGAGGGAACAGGCATAAAATAGACTCACACAAAAAACTTGGAGGATCTGGACTTCGCCGATGATATATGTCTGATTTCTCACAAACTGGAAGATATGCGAGTTATAAGCAACATGTTGGCAGAAGAAGCATCCACAGAAGATAAGACTTCAGGTGAACATAGATAAAACAGAGGTGATGAATATTCCTGACCAACACCAACAGCAACAACAACAACAGACAACAATCAGCCAGCATGAATGGAAGGAACCTGAAAGAAACAACCTCCTTTACCTACCGACATGGGAAGCATCGTTTCAACTACAGGCGGAACTGACGAGGATATCAAAGCCAGAATCGGCAAAGCAAGGCAAGCTTTCATTACTCTTGTGTCTGTGTGGAGGTCAACAGCACTCGGAATCAAAAATTAGATCCCGATTTTCAACTCTAATATGAAGTCAGTCAGTGCTACTATACGGATCAGAGACTTGGGGAGTCATAAAGAGCACCTCAAACAAACTACAGACGTTCATTAACAGTTATCTTCGCTCAATAGTCAAGATTAGATGGTCAGAAAAGATCAGCAACAAAGATCTCTGGCAATGAGCGAACCAACCAGGAACCGATTGTCAAACAAATAGACAGAAAGAAATGGAGATGAATTGGCTGACCGTACTCTGAGGAAACCATCAAGTGACTTCACTAGACAAGCCATTGCTCGAGTGGATTCCGAAAGGGAAGCGGGCAGCGAGTCGGTCATCAGTGTGAGGGTGACTTGGAGGAGGTCATGTGAAGAGGAGATGAAAGCATGTGGGCAGACTTGGAGAGGGGTGAAAAAGTTGGCAGAAAACAGAAGGCAATGGAGGTGCGCAGCTGAAGCCCTATGTTTCTCTAGGTATTAAAGGATATAATAAATAAATAATAACAGTAAGCAGCTAATAGATGACTGGAAACTCTTCGTGTATACTACAAAGCGGTGTAAGCTACACATATGGATCAGTCATAATAGAAAACTAGTCTAAATTAACGGATTAAAGAATGAGTTGTTAAATTGAATAGATTTTTATCTCAGTTAATCAAACGCTTACATACCTAAGATGAAATTTTGTACTGAGCGAATAGTAATGCATAACACTTAACTTGACTTTAGTGACCTTGATGTCTGCAAACTACGGTTAAAGGTAAATACCTGTATTCTGCAGCGAAAATGAAATATTTTCTCTCTTGTGATTACTGAACATCTCCAGACATCGCATTACACAGCTTTAAGTTATTTTTTTTTCAAATTTCACCTGGTTAACGAGACTTTAACTGGTTACAACGATGAATTAACCTAACTATTTAGTCACCATACATAGAAGTAAAGTTAATTTAAACATGTTTATTCAATAAAACATTCACTGATATAGTATCATTTACGAAATGGCATTCCATACACTTATGTTTTCATTAGTGTAGACACAGCTTTCTATACCGTCTTTTTTTCCTATGCTTTCTCTTTAGCCTGTATAGTTCGATTACTCCTTATTTGTTGTGGTAAGAAAATTTCTCATTCTCTACAAATTTTTTCTGGATTATTTTGTAGCGAACATCAAGTATTAATTAGACCAACAGTCAATAAAAATTGTTTATTTGGATGGAGGATTTCATCATGAGCTGATATCAGTTAGAGGACCATTGGAAAACCTGGGAGTACTCGACATCTGTTTCATCCTCTCGGTTTAAGACTCTTCAGTAGTACGCACCCAACCCAACTCGGTTCGAGACCAGGACCTTCTAGTTACAAGGCTAGCGAGCGCGTAGACCATCAAGTCAATAGAACCCTGAATAGGGCCACTCGTAAAGTGTTATCTAAAAAGAATAATCACTGCTGTTATTTAAGCGGGATTATTTCTGTTTTTCGTACAAGTACTGTATCATACATCACATGGATTTTGTTATGTCAGATAGTAATACGATATGCGGCAAAGTACCAAGAAACTCACACTGGCTATACAAATAAGTCTTCATTCCGAAAATTATTTCAGAGACCAGTTTCAACGTTCATAAACAAATAAGAAATGTAAAAGACATAAGGGAAACACTTCTATTAGTAATGAGCACAAAAGTTGTTCTTATAAAATTAAATGAGTTGTTTGTACCTTATTTCCTCTATACCTACTACCAAACTAAGTAGTTTTTAGATTTTAAGACTTCAAAATTACTAATCAATTCATTATACATTCGGCAGTTGAATTTCACTCTACATTTTGAAATGTTAGCCAATGAAACTGATGTTTCCTAAAACGGTACTTAGATTAATTCGCTCGCAAATATCTTTTATAATTTAGTTTAACAAACTAATTAAAAACCTAGTTGCTATTTCAGGGTTACCACACTAATGGCCATTTAAATAAGTGTATTGTTGTTTTGTGAATTGTTTTATTCCAACAGTGGTGTGAACACATGTTCAGTAATTTTGCTCGAAATTATTACCAATAACAAAACTTGTCATTGTGTGTAAACTATTGAAATATAATTATACTTTATTTGATCTAATCCACAATGCTCAAACTTTTTTACTGATATCAATTATGCAGTACCATTTAAATTCTTATGAAAGAATTTAAGAAT